AAGAGGATGCAGGGGAAGCTGAAAGCCATCATGGACAACCCCTCTCATCCTCTCTACGCTGAGCTGAGGCAGCTCAGGAGCACTTCAGCCACAGACTGATCCAGCCCCGTGCCCCCGCTTGGGAGGCTCATTTGTGCCATCAGCCATTCGACTCCACAACGCCACAGCACACTAGTACCGCCTACCCCTACTGACTGAGACTGTTAACTCTTAACCTGTTGAGCACAGCTCTTTTTTTGCACAATGCTTCAAACATTGCACATGTACAGATATACACAGGCATATTATATTCCACTTTATTGTATATAAAGTATATATTTTATATTTGTATTTTATTGTATTTTATTCTTTCTTTACTGTTTCCAATATATTCCCCTGTGCTGCTGTGACAAATTTTAATTTCCCCTACAGGGGATCAATTATCTGTCAGGTTTAGTCCAATAGTTCCCAATCGGGATCTGAATTGTACTACAGCACTGAGCTAAATTTGTTACATTCCACCACAAGTCCTAGTAAACTCTGTAATAAGTAAACAGAAAAACAGGGACTGTGTGGGACTGCTGCATGCACATGGAGGACCTTTGAGTTTACAAAATGTCCAAAGCAAAAAAGGAATATTATTTCAATAGAAATTGTATTCCAAAACATCTAGACAGCAAACTGTAGTAGAGGCAACCGTGTATACTCACAAGGATATACCTGCACAAGTTCACAGTACAGTACACTACCATTCAGCTCCTCCACCTTTAACAGAGGCTGGCATCAGTCATCAGCATCATATCTGATTACTCTGTGCAGGCCGTTAACTTTAGCGTTGCCACATCCTAGCGGCTTTATAGGCTATAAACTCCCAGAAATATTCTATCACCTTTGCAATGAAGGCTTAATGTGGTCACAGTTTTTACTTTCTATAAAGATTTCAAGCTTTTTTCCTACAAAGTACCTTTGCTGTGCTGTAATTGTATCCGTCTGGATTCAACGGTTCCCAGAGGGAGTTCATTTAGTCTAGGCTGCTGGGAAAAGAAAGTGAGCCAGGCAATGGATTGTGTAGTCTACAAGACTCACCTTCAGCTGAACAAGTAACCGAAACTGCTGCTGGAGAGGCATATGGGAGAAACGGTTCGACTTCAGTCAGGCTGTCCACACGCTCTGATTATTAAGTAAGACCAGGTAGGCATATTTCTATAGACTGTATGTATGTACACAGTATATACATACATACATACTTACACACATCTGTATATTACAGATATGCATGTATATATTTGTATGTGTGTATTTTTATTTTTGTGATGCACAAGCATGACAAGAACATTGTCATGCTTGTACATCACAAAAATAAAAATATACCAGTTAAATTAATTAAACCTCTTTGGCTCTACGGTGGTGGAAAAAATATTGAGATCCATTGCTTAAATAAAATTGGATTTATGACAGTGTAAAAAATACTATTACAAGGGAAATTCTGGATGCAAATAGGACATCTGTCATTGGTTTTCAGAATGATCCTGTTATAAACTGTGTGAGTGTTAGAATATAGACTTTTTTTTGTCTGTTTGTAGTGCTAGATAAAAAGTCAAGTGGTCATCAAACTCATCAGGATTCATCTGGGAACCAAATTTAATAGCAATCCATCCCTTTCACAAGAATAGGAGCCAGTTCAGTGTAATTGATATTACTACCACTAGGCAGAGCCCTAAGCCTTCCTATAATTCAGAACATCACGATCTAACCATAAGCTCATGCTTGTTATTGTCCCAGTGATCGTGCAAGGGAAGTTACAAGCATTAAACCTATTCCTTATCCTCATTGAATGTGTATATTATTATCAAACGAAAACAGACTTAGGATTACGACATACCCAATAGATATGTGTTTCTTTTCTATGTCTTTCTACATTTCTGCAACATATACAAATGTGTTTCCATGGCTTGTTGATGTATGGGGTTTTGTTTTACACCTTGGTCAATTTATAAAGTATCCGTTGTGGTGTAACAGGGATCTGGGGGATGAGAGGCAGTGGAGGTGAGAATGGGGTGAAAGGGACAGCAGATGGGTGCTGAGGGAGATCAGTACAGATGGACAATAGGTGGGCAGTATGGCGTCTCAGCCAAGGACATAACAAACAGTTAGGAATGCTAGGTTAGTGCACCCAGACAATATTCAAATATATTCTTCAGTTATCTTAATAATAGCTCTACACTGAAGCATGAATAATGCAACATAAAACACATGAAGCATAGAAGGAAGAGAAATAGATAAGTTGTTGATATAAAAATTAGTGTGACTCTGGTGAGTTAGATATGTGCTAAAGATTATCTGATACCCACTATCTCATTTATTATGTCACATGAATTCTCTCTCTCTCTCTCTGTGTGTGTGTGTGTGTGACAGAGGGAGAGAGAGAGAGAGAGAGAGAAATAAAGAAGAGAAACAACCCATTTTCCACCCCGCCCAAGTAAGTCATCATTCCTCTGTGATTCATTGTTAAATTGAAATGGAAAATCTTAGCAATTCAAATACAAAATGAGAAAAGTAGGATTACTATACTTCACACTCAAATACTGTACACACAGTCAGTTTATGACAGGCAGGCTATGCAAGGATTGTTTGGATTTCTTCCATAATATGTCAGATGTTCAGAATGAGTCTTTGAGTTTTTAATGTAATTATGTGAAATTGAAATCAGGCAGAAAGTTACATCTGCAAAATAGATTATTTTTCAATCTTTCACTGTGTTAGTATTGCATTTGACAGCAGTTGATGCAGTATGAGTTAAGGTGGGTAGGAAGCGGGTGTACCCCTTGAGAGGACGTTGGTTTAAGTCAGTCAACTCAGTCATAACATACATATTTTAACAGCAGTTACACTTTTGGCAAGTGTTAGATTCCAGTTAATTACACATAACACTTTAGGTTCTCTTTATTTGAGGAAGGAAAACCATTTAGGTAGACGTACACATGCAGGAGATACAACAAAAATTCTGAAAGGTGTAGTTCACATCAGAACTGAGCTAAAACAAATGGTCATGAAGGAATACCCTGAACATCAGGAACCCACTAGGAAGGAAATCCTTCTTACAGGAACTGCTAAACAAAGATAGGAACGCTTATTGAAAAAAACTCAACTGGAAAAAAACACAGGAGGATACATCATGAGCTCAGGTGGTGAAGATGCACTTTACAGTGCTACAGTAGTTTCTCTCTTTAGTGTCTTTTTGATTTCCTTGGCACAAGGTTAATGTGTAGTGTGTGCAGACTAGAAAAGCCAGATGTGTTATGTGTCACACGTGCTATGTCTTGGATGCCCTTCAAAGTTAAGTCAAAAATGCTGCCAGCAGTCTATCTGTGCTATGGTCTGTCTGAGACGCCTGTGCATGGTTTTGACCTCAGAACATTTCAAGTTGATTTTCTGATGACTGCAAAAGAGTAAATAGGACTTAAGAAATACCCAAACAAGCCCAACTGTGAATTTTTGGACCGAAACTGATGTTTTCTAAACCACTATCAGAGGAATAAATGCATAGTGTATTTAAAATATATTAGTTTTATTATTTATTTATTTTAAAATTACATTTTAGACACTAGCTGTCTTCTGGACAAATCATGGCCGCTTCCAGGGATCTTCACCTTGCAATGGTAGAGAAGCTTTTTGTCCACGTGACCCTGGGAGCTGTGTTGTTGAAGGCAGCAGCTGCAGAGAATGTCTTTGTTGCAAAAGTGAAGGTCCAGACTAAAGGCATTGACCGTATGACCTCTAGTTGAGAGAAACCAGGACCTGAGCCTGAAACCTGGCCTGTAAGTGGAGCACCTGGCAGCCTAGCAGTGATGCATGGTGCTCCTGTAAACATGAACTCAAATAAACTAATTTTAGTTTATACTACATACTGTACTCATTTAACAAAAAGACATGTCTCAACAATAGGCGTTCAGCATGTATTCAATTTCAAAGGTTCACCTCAGAAGCATTTGAAAGAAAAAATGTAGTACATCCTGTAGCATACGGATCACATTAATATAGAGCACTGTTATGCTTTGATAGGGGAATACAACAATACCTACCATTCTGCTGTAGTCATCTTTTCTGTGCCAACTAAATGATCAACTTTCATCTGATTGTACAAGTTTCTTTTGATTTTTGCACTCCATACAAAATTGACCTGCAGCGACTGATCATGTTAGGTAATTCTGGTGTGAATAGAGCACACACAATTGAGGGGGAATGCAGTGAGATAACTGAGTAAATTAAGGGGGGGAAAAGTTCAAATCCCCATATTCACCTGCTCGCCATATATAGTAAAAGAGTCAGGGCATCAAAGTTTTCAAGTGACACCAGTTGGAACAAGATATTTTGCATAGTTTAATGAATGTGGCAGTGTCCACTCTCCCCTGGTTATATACACTAACTAAATGCAAGGTAGGTAGTGAGCGAGCAGCATAGAGATTACTTTCTCCTCGCTTTAAGAACTATTGAGACAGCCAGAGATTGAGAAAAAGAGCGAGAGGCTTTCTCCATCTGGGTAACATTATTCAGATTCCTCAGTGTTGGATATTTGATGATGCTGGCAAAGGAAAGAGAGTGAGGCGTGGAGGCAGAGTGAGGGAAAATGGGGTGAGAGGAAAGATACGGGGAGGGAAACCTGAGGAGGGCGCTGTTCTCTCAGAGGGTCGATATGGCCTTGACTGCACTCCCCAAAAATGTCTAGAAAAGGGAGGGAACCGTAGAAGTGAGGAATCTGATGGCCCATGCATTATTGTGTTAAAGCTTCATACCTGCAGAGCTATATTATTTTGTAAGATATTTCATCAACAGTGGAAGATAGCACGCGGAGACAGGCCGTCTTGCTGGTGAAACACCCCCATAACTCACATCCCATGTGAATCTGTCTCAGCTTGTGGGAGAAAAGGGAGGGAGCAAACTAAACAGGGAGGGTAGGCAAGAAAGAATGTACTGAGATCTCATCATGTGATTTCAGTTTTTTTTCTTCTTCACTTTTTATATAGCTGCACAGTGATTACATGTTTGTAGTTTGGGGCTCTTAGCAAAATTTTCCAAACCCTCTCAGCTCTCTATTTCTCTGGCTTATTTTCCCTTGACTTTTTTTTTTTTTATCCAGCTGTGTGACGTGTGAGAGGAGTTCCTGCCCTTGTTTCATGCATTGTAGTTTAGAGGGAAGGAGAGGGACTCACCGAGAGGCGGACATTTACTTGACCTGTCAAAGGGAAGATGAATTGAAGGTATAAACAAGGAGAGACTGTTGGTGTTTTGGCCTGAGTGCGTATGCTTTGTCCTCACAGGGGAGCCAGACGAGGAGGAGGAAGGACGTGGAGAAAGAGACCAAAGCTGAGAGAAAGTGAAGTGGAGGGAGAGAGAGAGAGAAGAGGATAAGTTACCTAATTTTGTCGCCTGTAGGCAAAAGTGGATGAGGAGTTACAGTTGAGGAGTGACACGGGAGGAGGAGCACCAGCCTGGGGGGGGGAACCACCAGTTCAGCCTTCTTCTAGCAACAACGGGACAGGATGAGGTACCAAGGCAGGGTAAGATCCGGACTACTATGATGCTCCTTGATGTGTTTTCATGTTTAGCTGCACACTGACAGGATTTTATATGTGTGTGTGTGTGTGTGTGTGTGCGCGCGCTTGTGTATGCATTATCATAGTGAAGCACAAGATCCGATCAACCATTTCACTGTTTTCACTCATGGAGGGAAAAGCAAAACAGAACAATGAGTCACTTGGAGATTTATTTTTTTTCTGTGTATGAGTCAGTGTGTATTTTGGTTTCTGTGTAAGCTTTAACCCAAGCAGTCCAAAGAGGATGAACTTGGTATTTTTCCACCATATCAATTACTGGCACATCAGTGGTAAAGAGCCAGCTGTGGTACCAGAGCAGCTCGCCCTGGGACAGAGTGGTGGGGCATGCCTTATAAGGAAGACAATCCGAATGTAGTCGGCCCAGCAGAGCTTAGTCATGGGGCCTGGAGCCAAGTACCACTACTGTTAGGTTAGCTTACTCGCTGGTTGTCACTGCTGCTGCACGTAGAAACCTGCAGCTTTCACCAAAGTTCCCTCGGTACTCCGACTCAAACTCCCCATAATGCACCCAAGTACTACCAAGTCAGTGAGATCAGACTCTCGCTGCTGTAACAGCCGAGCCTCAGGTCAGTTCACAAAACTGCAAGGATTACATTGTATTCTGGTTATATCTCCATCCCACACCTGTAGCCCTTGAGGTATCGCAGCCCTCAGTGTCTCCATAAAAATGATTTTCGCATCCTTTAAGATTTCCTCTACCACAGCAGTGGGTCTGTGTTTTGGATGAGGCTTCTCATTATTAAAAGTGATTTCTGGGCCAACTCATGACTGCTGAGAGAAAACAATGTTTGCTATGTTTTTGAGTTTGTGTTTTGCTTCTTGGAAAGGCTGATCAGTGCACATGTAATGCTGTCTTTCTTAAGCAGCAGAAAGAAAGATTATCACACAATGTTTCAGACACTGGAGCGGTGGACACAAACACTGTCAGCACAGCAGCTACTGTACATCTTAATAACACCACATGAAAAGTATGAGATCTGAGGCAGATGGAAAAATTCACGCCAAAGGAGTCGGTTACAGTTCAGAGCCAAGTTGTGCTGGTCATTGTCATCCACCATGAAAGGTTGATGTGTATGCTAAACACATGGAGGTGCTTTCTAAGCTTCATACTAGTGTGCAAGCCCCCCTTGAGCTATGTGACATTATGTAATAAGCTGCAACCACACACACACACTCATAAGGGTCAAACTAAAGGAAGTACATATTCTTGTGCAATTCAACTGCACCTTCATTGGATGTCCCACAACCTAAAGCTTATTCCACTTTTGCCACACAGGTGTCATGAATGTAAGTGCAAATACATTTTTTGTTCATCAGGCATGCAAACACACCTCACACACCACAATCCATCCTCAGTAGTGGATATAAAAGCATGCATAACTGCTGACACCCACGTAGAAACATTAAGTGGCATCCACTGAACGCCTGCCCTGAACCTGACCCTAACATTCCTTAGTTGTATCCTTTGGAAAATCTGACTGTGAACTGCAATTACTATCTGTTGGAAGCCCACCTGCAGGAGTGGGAGAACAATACTCCAAGGTGAAGCAAAGAGGAGGGGGCCGCGGTGGAAGTGTCCAGTGACTTTCCTTTGCTCTCCCTTCTTGGCAATCTTCCACTGTTGTCCTCTTGTTTTTTTAAGGATTTTCCTGCATCCAGTGTTTAAAGTTAATGACCTTTTACCGGCGTTATGCAGCCAAATGAGACCCTTGAGAGGCTCTTGCATTCAAGAAAAACAGAAGTCCTGTGGAAGTCTATCCCCTTTGTTCCACTTGGTGCTAGTTTTTCTTTTTTATGAATGTTTAAAGGAAAAACAGCAGGGTGGCTTTTCTTATAAATGTATCTGTGATATCGAAGATAGCGTGCAGCTGGTTTTGCTGCAGTGTAGTGTATTGATTACACACTGAATTGTGTGTCTGGATATTTATCATTGGTAAGTATTGACTGCTGCCATTTTTATCTCTTTGTATGTTTGTGTGCATGCCTGTGCGTGGGTTGTGTGTAATATCTCACTGTAGGGCATATCTGAGAATTTTACTCTTAATTATTTCCTGTCTGCACTATGATGTTTGTCATCACAGTGGGGTTGACATGTACACACACTTTCCCAGTGGCATAGGTTAAATCCCGTCTGGTGATATAGAGCTGTGTGTACTGTACATACACGATAATACACTATCTCCCCGTCACATAATAGAAGAGTCTATCTTGTCTGTTTATCATTTGGATTCGTTAAATGTCTTCATTGTTTAATCTTGGCAAGGCTCGGTGGAACTGTTCTTACTTTGTATGTTTACAGAGTGTTGTTTTGGTGATGTGGTCAGTAAGTCTCGAGTCATTTGCCGTGATATTTTAAAGATAGTGTCTCCCTAATACGTATTGTCTCTCTTCATAAATAGATTCTATTTTGTAATATATTATGTGGCAATGATTGGACTATTAAGCACCAGATGTTAATTCTTTCATAACTGGGTGAATGTACCATGCCTCAGATGAAATGGGAATAGGTCTTTTGCACCCCTTGCTGGTCAACTGTGTAGTTACATCTACTGCGAGGTCTGTGCACTGCTGCTGAACTGTGGCAGGTGCTTCATTTCTGTACTTCTTTATAATAATGCTCCTTCTCTCTCTGTCTGCAGGAAGTGGATGTCGAAGGAAGAGTGCGCCTGGTGATGGAGAGTGCCCTGACTGCCCGGGACAGGGTTGGGGTGCAGGACTTTGTCTTGCTGGAAAACTACAACAGTGAGGCAGCCTTCATAGAGAACCTACGGAGACGATTCGGAGAAAACCTCATTTATGTAATAAAGCCAGTTTTCTTCTTATGTTCCCAAACATTTCAGTTGGTGTGGTGAGACATACTTTTTATGTGTTCTAATATTTTGGCTCAGACATATATTGGCTCAGTGTTGGTGTCGGTGAACCCTTACAAAGAGCTGGAGATTTACTCCAAGCAGCAGATGGATCGCTACAGAGGGGTCAGCTTCTATGAGATATCGCCTCACATGTGAGTCATTTTATGGTCCTTAGGCAT